ACATTTTTTACCCACATGTTTTACTTGACGTTTCCAAAAATGTAAATTTCACGGAAGAATAAATCTATCTATCTATCTATCTATCTATCTATCTATACTGGTACAATGAACTGAATTAACGTTGACTTGCTTAACTTTTATATATAACTTTCCCAACCTGAAGGATTAGTTACCTGTGGACAGGAAGTAAATTTCAATAAAGAACTCAATACTCAATATCATAAAACAGATTGCAGTCAACAACGGATACAACGTTAATTTGATAGACAGTATTCTTTCTAAAAAACTTCATCATAAAGCTATTCAAGAAGTTTATCCTACCATCAAGGATAATATTCAAAATTATAGAACTTTAACCCATTTCGGATCATCAACTGAGAAATTAGCTTCATTTCTACATAAACAGGACTTAAAAGTGCCATATAGAATAACAAATAACACGTTGGGACGGTTTATCAAGAATAATAAAGACAACACTTCTAAATTCGAAAAATCAGGGGTATACAAACTCAAATGTGGATCTTGTCCTAAGGTATATATTGGTCAGACAGGTCGTACGTTCAATCAGCGCATTTATGTTATGAACATAAGATGAATTTTATGAAGAAGAAAACAAATTCAACATACGCCAACCATATATTAGAAGAAAGCCATAGTTTTGATGATAATTTCGAAATTCTGCACGTAGAAAATAAAGGGCTGAAACTCAATCATTTTGAATCATTAGAAATCAACAAACTCAAAAATTACTTAATGATCAATTAGACCTTAATAGTTCACCACTGTTGAATTTGTTTTCTCAGTAAGTAATAATATGTATTTGATATCAACTCTTTCAAGTTAATCCGATATACCGTAATTTAATGTAGATATTGTGCCTACATTCCGAAAATGGAGGTTTATCGTACCTGTCCACAGGTAACTAATCCTTCAGGTTGGGAAAGTAAGATATATAAAAGCAAGCCAACGTTAGTTTAGTTCATTGTACCAGTATATCACCTGACGAAGCTACTGTGTTAGCGAAACATGTCGTGTGTTTGAGAATTTTGTGGAAATGTTATCGTTTGTGAAGTTTTTACATTTGTCATGGATTTCCATCAAGTAACGGCCGAAACAATTGAAAAAAAAACTGATAGTGGTGCTTGTTGATCAATTCACATGACAAACTCCATTGTGAAAACTGCATATCGATATCTGTCTTCGTTTCAGAGTTACAAGGTATTTTTCGAAGATATGAATTTTCGAAAAGTGGCTAATACTCATTTTTTTGTCAGAAATTCTTCGTTTCCATGAAAACATCTCCAAAGCATTGTGTTTGTATTGAAAATTGATCCTCAGGCATTGAAATCAGTTACTACAGTTAATAATTGAAGACCTTTTCAAAATTGAGAAACTTGAAAAAAATTATGCTAAATGGTATGAATCCTTTAGAATTACGTTAGATAAGCTGTATTAACTTAGATAGTAGTTTTCATTTATATTGTAGAAGCTAAAAAAAAAGTTTGAAAAAATGGAGTTGCCTGTTTCTTGCCCCAAAAAGACAACATTCTGAAAATATAGTCAAACTCGTGTAATAATTTCGCTTTTTTATCGAAAATGAAATATATAACGATAAATATAGTAAACAAATAGTATTTTGAACATAGGAAGAATCGCTGACGTTTCCTGCGTCTTGATCTTCGTGAAATCATTGCCAGAATTTGGATTTATGATTAAACTAATCATGCCACACACGATGGAAGACGCGGAAAGGCTTACCGCTAATTGGTAATCTGTGCCGCTAATAACCTCACTCCGACATCTCCCACTACACGCGAACATTTCGGTGCTAAAATCGGGTAAGTCCTGGAGTTGCCCGACTCCAGCACCGTCATGGCTTACATTTCAGTACTAAAATCGGGTAACTCCTGGAGTTGCCCGACTCTTGCACCTCATTGGCTCATCAGGTAAATCCTTTCCCGTGTTAACTTGATAGGAAATTGTTGGATTCGCTTGATTCTTGCACCAGAAGATACGCAAGAAAAAATTCTATATGTAAAATACAATAACCCAATTTCGGCATAAAATGGAGTTACCCGGTTCTTGCACCGAGGTCTTCAATTGTTATCACAAACTCAATGCTTGGCTGTTATTTTCATGAGAACATACAGTTTTTTCAAAGAAATTATTTGCAGCTACTTTTCAAAAATGCCAATTTTCGAAGAACATCACCTTGTTACTCCGAAACGAAGACAGATATCGATATGCGGTTTCCACCATTGAGTTTTTCATGAGAATCCACCCTCAGGCATCGACATCGGGTTTTTTCTATCTAGTTGAAGAATAGGACTGTCCCATTAAAAGTGACCAATTTGGCCCACCCTGTACAAGTGTACAGTGCTTCCCTTTAATTTTGATTGAGACTGCCAGGTTTCTGGGTTGTTATTAATATGATAGAGCCTTGTGGTTTTCACTTTCCTATCCTACTTTTTTTGTGAAACTCATGATGGCCTTACTTGATGTGGCCCAATCAGATTTTCCATAACTGTTTCCGTTTATGAGATACAGGGCGATTTCAAAAATTCATACTTTTTGCACCCCTTTTATATATACGAACTTCAGCAAAAAAAATGTTGAACTGAGAACATCGTCTAACAGAGAATTCTGCGCAGAATCCAGTGGGGTACACATTTTTTTCGGTGTATAGTTTCGAAGTTAGGACACAAACTTAAATATTTTTTGATAGAACACTCTCTATATTTCACTATTTCGTTCAATTCGTGTTTGTTGTGTTTCATATGAACATTTTTGTGCATATGTGGTAGGTCTGAGAATCTGTCGTAACTATTTAATTGTAATTTAAAATGTAAGATGGCGGATCCAATGTGGCGGACGAGTTTTGAATCCGATTTCATTCAAAATTCGTATCTGGGATTGTTTGGGGTCGGAGATTATGATTCTTTAATCAACATTCGAAAATTCCAGATGGCGAATTAAATATGGCGAATGACTTTTCTAAAGTTATGGTGCATTTCTATTCAAAATTGGTATCTAGGGATTTTAGTGGTCGGAGAATATGATTCCTTTGTCAAAATTCGAAAATTCAAGACGGCGGATCCAATATGGCGGGCGAGTTTTGTAATTATGATCCGATTTTATTCAATACTGGTGTCTGGGGATTTCCGGGGTCGGAGATTATGGATTCTCTGTCAAGATTTGGGAATTCAAGATGGCGGATCCAATATGGCGGACGAGTGTTTCAATTATGATCCGATTCTATTGGAAATTGGTATCTGGGGGTTTTCGGGGTCGGATATTATGATTTGTTCTTCAAAATTGAGAAATTCAAGATGGCGTTTCTGATATGGCGAACGAGCTATGTAATAAATAGTAGTTTGAAAAACTATAACGAAACACGCTTCAGTAGAAAGCCATACTTGAGGCCAAACTAAATGGAAGTGAGAAATAGCTAGTGTAGTTCAAAAAATTAGAGATAGATTGTCAAACTAAAAAAAGTAGAAAATAAATAGTAGTTTGAAAACTTTTTATGGGTTGCCAAACCAAAAGAAAATAAAACTAAATAACAAAAGTGTGTTGATAGATATTTGCTAGAAATAAATGTTTATTATATCAAAACAACGTTTGCCGCTATTGTAATAAATAGTAGTTTGAAAAACTAATGAAATACGCTTTCGAGGAGTGCCAAACTAAAAAGAAGTGAGTGAGAACATAGAGAGTAGTTAAAAAACTGAGAGAGATTGTCGAACTAGAAAGAAATGGAAAATAATTAATAGATTAGTTTTAGAATTCTTCAAATGATTCCAATTTTTTATGTTCAAAATCTATGGCCCACCACCTGAAATTCATCATCACATTTTCAGTGTTTTTTAGCGGTTCTGAAAAACTAAGTATACAGGGTGTTTCAGAGTTGTGCGGTTACAAAAGCCGGAATATTTCTCTCAGAAAGTCCAGAGTCCATGTTTGAAAGAAAAGAATGTTTTATCAATATTTTGAAAACTCTCAAGCCGATTTGAATGACATTTTTATGGTTCATTCACACAATCATCAGACATTTACTGGACCAATCAAAATTGATCCAGAATTTCCAGGGACGTACCCATCGAGCAAGTCGGCTTTCTTTTGTAGTAAAAAGAGTCACCCTTCTCCATCATCCAGATAAACTCACTAAAAATTCAACATCACTGTTTCTTGCCTTTTTTTCGTATCTTGCTCCGTTTTCAAGGAAATCGGACATCAATACAATACCTCGACATATATTATCCAAAAATATATTGCACCTTATCATTCCTGAAAAGGAACCATAAGATGCCATTCGAATCGGCCTAAAAATTTTCAAGATATTATGGGAAAACTTTTTTTTACCTTGGAAACGTGGCATTTTCGGACCCACGTTCATGTGATTCTTTTTCATATTTTGTTGAAAGGAATCTTCCATATACTTTTGTCGCCACAACTGTGAAACACCCTGTATATAGATATATACATAATTTTAAAGAAGAAATAACGAATTCAACGAAATAAAAAAATACAGGATGTTCCATTGAAAAATAAGTTTGTGTCGCATCTCCAAACCATACCGCGAAAAAAAATTGAGTACCCCATACCGGATTCTGCGCAGAATTCCCTATTAGACGTAGTTCTCAACGCAACAACATTTCTTCGTAGATATAAAAGGGGTTTAAGGAGTATAAATTCTCAAAATCGCCACTGGAGGGGGGGGGGAGTTCTTAACGTGACATTATTTTTGATTGCTTATTCATGAATATCGAAGTTGTACAAATAGTATATAAATCTTGAAAACGGAAACATTTATGCAAAATCTGATAAGGCCACCTTGAGTTTTACTAAAGAGTGGGATAGGAACGTAAAAACCGCAACGCATCTTCGATAATAATCGAGAAACCTGGCAGTCGCAACCAAAATGGGATGCACTGTAAATTTTTCACGGGGAGTGGCTCATATTTCGTACAATAATTTGGCTTCTCAAGAAATAATCTTACCTGTCTTCCTTTGCAGCCCTTGAATAATAAGCTCGACCTCTAATCGCGGCATAAAATGAGTAAGCTTCATTCAGATAGTTAGTTTCACTAGTCCTTAAACTGAAAAATGAAAATTGAATACAAATATTCAGTAATAAATGATTAGTGAGTTTACATTCTATCATTCACCAAGCGTGATGCTCGGTCTGATGTATATACAGGGTGGCATTGAAATAAGTGCAAATATTTCAAGCCTTGAGTAACCTCGACGTATACTATCGAGTGGCACCAATAAAAATTTTTTTTCAATTTTCGGGAAGAAATTTCTTGTTAATTAGAAGAAATAGGAAAAATCTGATATCATGGAAATATATTTTAGACTGTATAATATCGATGTGCTGATTATATATGTACTTATTTCAAAAACACCTTGTATGTACACCTTATAATAACTTTTTCCTCGACAAACTATATCGAATATTTCTTGTCCACTCAAAAAATATTTTTGACCAATTATGTTCGATTTGAGAAACTCTTTTTCACATTGTTCATTAGTTTTCTACGACTATAACACAAATTTGCTCTTGTTCCACTGTTTTATGTCTACAATTCCATTTCCTTATCTGATAGCAGTATGATTTCATTTTGTGGTATAATTTCAAAATAAATGTCATTTTTTATGAAATGTCAAATTTGACAAACCGAAGAAATAAAAAATTCCGCTATTATCTGTTACAGTCGCAAGAAAAGTATAGATAGATTTATTCTTCCGTGAAATTTACATTTTTGGAAACGTCAAGTAAAACATGTGGGTAAAAAATGTATAGATAAAACAAGACATACAGAAAGTACGGGTTGAAAGTATATGTAGACAGCACTGACAGCAATTATATAAAACTAACTTTAAAACAAACTGACAGCAATTATTATATAAAATTAACTTTAGAACAGAAGGAGCAAAGCGAATTAGACAAACCTAAAGGTGAGTCAACCTTATCCTAATGTACTAATGCTTGTGTAGAAATCCTCACTAATATATAAACACATGTTAATTAGAATTTGTTTCATTTTTGATTTAAATTTTCCTATGGGTAAGGATGATATGGTATCTGGTACTGCATTAAAGAAATCTATGCCTAGAGCTCTTGATTTATTTATCCTCTTGCGAGAATGAAGTAGCTTATTTTTACCTCTTGTATCATATGAGAAGAGAATTTGTTAATATTGCATTTGATGTGCATCAGATTTTCGAAGACAATCATCGAGAACAGTGACATTATTCCTAATTCTTGAAAGATAGGTCGACAGTGTTCATCAGGTTTAGCTTTCACAATGCTTCGAACTGCAGATTTTTGCAAAATGAAAATCCTTTGTAAATGTTTGTGGGAGGAATTGCCCCATCCCAGAATTCCATAGTTTAAAATTGACTAGAAAAGTCCATAATAAGAGGCAAGACCCGCTTCTTTATTAACTATATTTGTTATTCTGCGTATTGCAAATACAGATTTCGATAATTTTCCGCACATGAAATTTATTTGAGGGATCCACGATAGGGTAGAGTCAAAAAAAATTCCGAGGAATTTTATGTCTGCGTTTTCTGATGAACCTACATGTGAAAAAACACGTGTGTTAGTTTTCTTGTCATTCAAGTATAGTTCATTGGAACTGAACCATCTCGAAGCATGATTTAGAATACGACTGATTATGGGATCTTTCTCCTTCAAGTCCTCATATTTTTGTTGGAAAGTAAAACTAGTATCGTCTGCGTACATTACTGTTTCAATTTGCAACTCGTTATCAAAAGTTTTCATGTGATTTGGTGAGTCGTTTATATAAAGAAGAAAAAGGAGAGGTCCAAGGATGGACCCTTGTGGGACTCCCCGTTCCATAATGAGTGTGTCACTTTTGACTTCATTAACAATTACTGTCTTTGGCCTATTTGTCAAATATCATTTTATTAAATTATTTGCAACCCCTCGTATGCCATATGAATTTAACTTATCCAATAGAATAGAGTGGCTAACGCAGTCAAATGACTTGGTTAGATCAGTAAAAATCGCTAAACAAGAATTTTTGTTTTCGTATGCCTCCTGTATGGTATCCATGAGGAGAACATAGTGTATAACTCGCACGGAATGCGAATTTCCCACTCTTATGATGTGTAGCATTCGCTACGGCTCATGCTGGAAACCTCATTCTTGTTATGTGGGAAATGATCTTCATCACGTGCTCGTTGAACATTATACTATTTTCTACGGCTATAACACAAGATTACTCTTGTTTTACTGTGTTCAATACATCAATGAGGTACTTTGTGAGTCATCAATTTCATTGCTGTATCTGATATCACAATGACTCCATTGTGTTATTATTTCAAAAAAACTCATCGCCCATGGAATGTCATATATGAGCATTACTTGACAGGAAATCAGATGGCTACAAGACGAAGAAATCGAAAATGCCGCTGTTATCTATTATAGCCGTAGAAAAATTATAGTGTATAACTTGCACGGAATGCTAATTGCTGCAAACTTCATTCTCGTAGGAAATCACTATCATTCCGTGCTCGAACAATATACTATTTTTCACGGCTATAACACAAAATTGCTCTTGTTTCACTGTGTTCGATACATCAATGAGGTACTTTGTATGTCATCAATTTTATTTCTGTATCTGAGTCTAGGATCAAAATGACTTCGTTGTGTTATTATATCACAAAATTCGATCTTCCATGAAATGTCAGATTTCAAGCAATGACAACTGTGTCTAATAGATGATCATGACTTAGCAGAAAATCAGACAGCTACAAGCCGAAGAAATCAAAAATTTTGCTGTAATCTGTTATACAGCCGTAGAAAAAGTATAGTGTATAACTCACACGAAATGCTAATTGCTATGGTCGTTAAACAATACAATACAATGAAATTTTACATGATAACTGAATATATTCCAGTGGAACTTACTAATAATGATAATAGAGCTGTCCGATTTTAGATGCTATTTCGCCTATTTGCCACCTCTTCAACCCATATTTTGTATCTAGAATTAGGCGGTGTTGCTGCTGAAATTTCCATAACTTCGTGTAAATGTCGAAGGTTCGACCGAAATACGCTTGCCACTGTTTGTGGCCGTATTGCGGCAAATCCCTGAAAAAAGAACAGAAATGAAAAATATGAGAAAATTCCACACCTATCGACCAATTTGAAGCCTGTATTTTATATCGTTACCATAGCTACTATAAACAAATTTCTGAATATTTTTTGCTCCTCCTTGGAGTAAGTAGTATGAAATTACACCTGTTCCTTGTAACAAAATATACTTCCACCAACTTTAGTGGAAAAAAGTTAATCAAGAATAATTGTTTGAACTACAACCAGCTACCTTATTGAAATTTTGCGTAAATAAAGTCGGTTATTTGTATTTTATTTAGCGAAATCATATAGTACTTTTAAAATGATATTTTGGTGTGAAATTCTCTTAATGAATACCACTCGAGCTCAAAATAAAAACAGAAAAATTATTTCTCGAACACGAATATCTAGAAAATTTTCAAAGCACCTAATATTCGTGTTCTCGAGAAAATGTTCGGTAATAATTCGAATTCTAGTGGTTATAAGTGACTAAAATTTTGGTTTATAGGCCACTATTCACTTTTCAAAATAACTCCTCACGATATACCTACACATATACATATACTCATCGAAACAATTTTTCAGTACACCACATCCATCAATTTGTTTGGTCAATTTTAAGTTCCTGTTGTCCAAATTATTATTTTGAGTTCAACCATTGTCAATCTGAATGAAAAAGGTAGTTAATAGGCGAGAGGTATAGCGAGAGGTATCTTCTCGCCTACTAACTAGCTTTTCCATTTAGATCGACAATGGTTCAACTACATTTAATTTTTTTGCAACCGACACAAAAGTCGTCTATTTTAATCCCAAAATTAGCTCTTGAATTGACGTTTCTATTACTGCTAGGCAACACTTTAAGTTCCTAGGAGCTAAAGTTAAACTTTAGCTCCTAGGAACTAAAAAGGATGTATAGAGGTCATCAAGAATAAACAACATAGTTACGGTTAGTTATTTGGGTTGGGACGCATACCTGATTTGTTTCTGATTTCGGCAAATTCGGCATTTCATACCCATGCTGGAGATATAAATACACCATATTATAGTTACTTATTTTTGATTTGATCAGGAAAGCCTTCAAGATTCACATACTTGCTTGATCTGTATTTCATTCGTTATTCTCGAGATGGACAATTTGTGTTTGAATAATCACGGCCAGCAATCCTTTTTCGTCTCACACAACGAAATTGTTTACTTTCATTTTATTACCGAGCCAAACACAGTGGAGTATGGAGAGAAATATGAAATCGCTATTATTATTGTTGATATGCTCACTAATCTAAAATTTTCTACGCCATGGCTGACACCTGGTCCATACACAAATGGGTCACTATGTGGTTGTATTTATATATAAGCTACAATTCGAACATCCTTGAAAATTTAATAAACTTGATCTGTTAATGCAGGTTCTTACCACACGGATTATTTGTTGCATTTTATACATATGGCACGGCATTGATGGTTACTTCATATATTAATTATAGTTAATTCTTTCGGTTGCAAAATAAATAGCATGTTCCATTCGGATCAAAAGTTACACTTTGTTTGACAAGCGAATTTTGCATTCCGAGGCGGAGGATCTCAATCGACTACTTTTCAATCTACCATATATTTTAAAATGAGGCAAGTGTTTCTTGGACCTAGTTTTTATGGGTCTCTAAGCTTTGACCTACATATTATGTTCTGCCATGACTTCCTGATTTTTCGAATAATATGCAGTTGTATAATGTATCCAGTAACACAACTATTTAGGTGAGATCATGATGAAAATAGACAGGTGTAACCACTTGTCAATTGTTTTTTTCCAAAACGTGTAGACCGCGAAACACCGTAGCAAGGCCGCACCGGATTGACTGTAGATGGCGTAGGGAACATCGTGCCACATATACTTCACAGATTTAATGGAAATTTCACGTCTTTTTCAATAAATCGATCACTTTTTCTTAATGTTTTTAAATTACGAATTAATATACGTAAATGTTAACAACAAACAACCATTGTGTAGCAAGATCACTTCGGGAACAGCGCCATCTAGCGTTAGTTTTGCGCGGCCTTACTACGGTGATAGAATTCGACATAATCAAGTAGGCCAGAGGTCTACAAAAATGTCTAGGGTTTTGTAAGAGGGAGCTATTTCACCATACATATATCCACCTTTGGTGAGATCATAGGAGACTCATTCAAATATGGGTTCAAGTAACATCTATAGTATATACATTGGAGGCAAGTTATCTAAATCAGACATTAGGTAGATATATTTGATGTTTGTATACGAGTTTTAACGATATGATAATAACAATGTTGACTTGAAAAATGAAACGACAAGCTCAAACATCTCAATGAGTTGAGTGGTGTGGTTGTAAAGGGTCTCAAGTATACTTACCCTAACAACACAGGGATGTCCTAGGTGCGTCCCTTTTATGTCCCGCGGTACAAGGAAATGATTGGGACACCCAGGGGATGTCCCGCCAGTAGTTGTCCAGTGGACATCCCACCCGGTGCATCCCTAGGTTATCCCATTCGTGTCCCTGGAATATCTGATATCCATTCTTCACATCAGAGAGTCATTCAATATCATCAAAATATTGAGTCGAATTTTTTCGAAAATGTATTTCTTCCGGAAAATAATTGTGATGAAAATGAAGAATATAGTCTCAAAACTTCTCAAGAAATGACCATTTTTCGCAAACAGAGATCGTAAATGCATAATGCCCCTCATTTTCAAACACCCAAGAATGATAATAATTATACCCGAATCCTAACAGTTTTATTTATCCAGGTTTCTGTAGTTGTCCTGTTTATAAATCTGTTCAATACATGAATCTTCAGAAGGCATATTGGCCAATGTAGTAAGGTGCGTGCCTGATAAGCTGAAGGTCCCGGGTTCAATCCCAACTAAACCTACTTTTTTCTTTTGTCGAAGGGATGTCCCTGGGATATCCTTGGGACGTCCTAGGGATATCCCTTCTTTGTACTCGGTACATCCCAGGGACGTACCAGGAGGGACATCCCTTGGATGTCCTTTTTGTCTGAAAGCGGATGTCCCTGGGACGTCCCTAGTATGTACTTTGTCCCAGAAAAGATATCCCTGGGATGTCCTCATTCGAAATTAGGGACGTCCCTGGGAAGTCCCTAGGATGTACTCGTGTTGTTAGGGTAGACTTTTTTATTCATTGTTAAATTTTTTCAAAGGAATTGTTATCTATAATTTTTCACATGGATTTCATATATGTTGACAGAAAAACAATTGAACATCTCAAGAAAAAGATATGGGCAACGCATATAAATGTTTGAATAGGACATCCTTTACTTACCGGGTGACACACATGAAATTTGGTTGTGTGATATAAGCAACCTATTCGGATTTTGATCACATTACAATCCAATATGGCGGACTTCCGGTTTTTCTGGAAATACCAGCAGCACTAATGTTTTTTTTTAAATGGAACACCCTGTTTATGTTATCAACTTCACCAGGTCAATACAAGTGCAATATATATGTCAAAATGTATTTTTTTTTAAATTGATATTATTCGATCTGCAAGGGAATTCATGAACTAGTTGTTGATATTTGAATGTATACAATTTGTTACTGCACCGAAATACAAAAATGATATGTCATTGTTTTTCTTAATGTATGTATATAGTATAGAGAGACATACACATGTTCCCTACACCAAAATAGGTCGATTTAAGTAAAATCACCTCAGTACAAAGTTGCATCGTTTGGGCTCCAGAGGGCCTTGAAGTTACAATTTTTAAATCGTTTTTCCCATATAAATTTAAAACGGCATATGCGATTTAGCGGGAATTTGGTATATTGATAGAGTTTTATGTGGCAAAAAAATTGTGTTAAAATTTTGTCCGATAATGATACATAGGGGAAGAAGTTGATTTTTTAAATAATTGGACCTTTGAAAATTCTACGCCAATGGAAGAGAAGGAGTTTGAGTATAAAATTTAGATTGCGCAACTCATTGACTTCAAAAAAGGTACTCTTGATAAGACTCGATTGCTCTCATGGTTTTGACGAAATTTGCATTTCAGTAATTTCAGAACATAAACAATAATTATTAAAAAATACAAACTTTGTCAAAACCAAGAGAGTAAATCGAGTGTTATCAAGGGTACTTTTTAGAAGTAAATGAGCACCCAATCCAAATTCCATACTCAAACCTCTTTTTTGCCATAGGCGTAGAACTTGATTTATTAAATAATTGCACCTTTAAAAATTCTATGCCAATGGCAGAAAAGGGGTTTGAGTATGAAATTTGGATTGGGTACTCATTTACTACAAAAAAGTATCCTTGATAACACTCGATTTACTCTAATGGTTTTGACAAAGTTTGTATTTTAATAATTATTGTTTATGTTCTAAAATTACTAAAATGCAAATTTCGTCAAAACCATGAGAGCAATCAAGTCTTATCAAGAGTACCTTTTTTCCATACTCAAACTCCATTTCTTCCATTGGCGTAGAATGTTTAAAGGTGCAATCATTTAAAAAATGAAGTTCTACGCCTATGTATTATTATCGGACAAAATTTTAACACCATTTTTTTTGCCACATAAAACTCTATTAATATACCAAATTCCAGCAAAATCGCATTTGCCGTTTTAAATTTAAATGGGAAAAACGATTTAAAAATTGTAACTTCAAGGCCCTCTGGAGCCCAAACGATGCAACTTTGTACTGAGGTAATTTAACTTAAATCGACTTATTTTGGTCTAAGGAATATGTGGTATGTTTTTGTAAAGACCTTTTACAGACACCCTGTATAACTGTAACAAATTTTAGAAAAAATCCGTTTACGAATGCAGAAGTTACAGGGGTGGCCCGATACCCTGTGTCACCCGGTATACAGAGTGTTTCATAAGTTATGGCCAGCGTAGTCTCGTGGTAGAAATTTCAGTTTCTATCCACATTTTTCTGCTGGCCTAAGAAAGTGTTTGGGATCACTTTTGAGGGTTGCTCGTAAAAGGGGGCAACCGAATGATGGATAAGAACAATTTTAGAACAACAAAAGCAGTGGGGTGATAGGGGGGGGGGTCGTTTCCTATCAAACTAACCGTACTTATATGTGCATGGTTATCCAATTGTTGATGTGATTCACCATAAATGTCCCCCCCTCTAGCTCACTTATTTTTGAACCGATTAAACAATTTGAAAAATAATCTGAAATGATTTTTCAGAAATTTTTTCCCGTTGCATCAGAAAATACAGGGTGCTCGGAACAAACGATCTACAGAGTACTACTTGATTTTTTCAAATGGAACACCCTGTATTCTATTGTCTTTTTAGATTCTCCCTGAAGAGCTGATTTCATCAATACATCACACTTGGGGTCTAGCGAGAATGATTACAGAGATATAGGATGTTAAAAAATCGAGATTTTTCAGGATTTTTTTGTCGAAACTATTCAATATTGGTCAAAACGGCTTCTATTCTCAACTTTTGATTTACTATCCACTGACATTTAATTGGAACATTTACAGGGTGGTTCAAGATTCAGAATTCTGATCACCCTGTATATGTTGCAATTATTAAATCTCAGTAGATAGTGAATCAAAAGTTAGGGCATGACATGGAAGACGTTTTGACTGATAATGAATAGTTTCGTCACAAAAAAATCCTAAAGTTGAAAAATCTCGATCTTGAGCACCCTATATCTTTTTAATCATTCCCGCTAGACTTCAAGTGTGATACATCGATCAAATCAGCTCTTCAGAGAGAATCTAAAAATACAATGAAAAATAGGGTGTTCCATTTAAATAAATCAAATAGTACCCTGTAGATCGTTTGTTCCGAGCACCCTGTATCTTCTGATGTAGCAGAAAAAAACTTTATCGAAAATCATTTGGGATGATATTTCAAATTTTAAAATCGGTTCAAAAATAACTGAGCTAGAGGGGGGGGGCATTTATGGTGAATCACCCTGTACCTTTCTCCCTGAAGTCATTTATAGTTTGTTCACTGAAAAATTATTATTATTAATTAGGCACAATTGAACTTTAGGCAAAAATTTCAGCCAACAAAAATTTAACATTAACTTTCACAATAATTGTTGACAATGTCTGCTGTGACAGTTGACACCTTTCTATTGTAATGCAGAGCGGCGGCCTAAAATAACCAATCAACGAATGAGATTCAGAGACTCAAAAGAAATTTTATAAGACAATTTCGATTTATTAGTAAGACACAGACATTTTAAGCACTTGTGATAATCAGGAAGTACTAAGTAACGCTTAGTTACCTCGTAATGGTTTATTTCTGAAAAAAACAGCAAACATGTATTCTTAAGAAAACGCGACCCATTAAATAGTTATTTTTGTATCTAGAGCGCGAAATGCTACTTTGGTGATCGAGATCTGATGTTTTTAACGAGGCGTAGCCGAGTTAAAAAAATAGTCGAGATGACCAAAGTATTTCGCGCTCGAGTTGCAAACAACATTTTTTCTACAAACGTCAAAAAATATAGTTCTGAAGTGCTTGATATAAAAAATGGTGTTGAACTGGCTTAAAAGGCCTCCCCCTATCCTCCCTAGGTACGCACGATGTTCCACGAACAAAATAGGAATTTCCTTTCGTGCGCTCCAAGAGAAAAAGCAAAGTTATTGTTGAACATTCAGGAATAAATGATTTCGTGGATGTTTGCTCGATTGAGGACCATACAGTTGAAATATAAATATCTCATATATTTTACATAACAATGCGCGAAGTAGGTACTTCGCGCACTGTTTTACTTCGCGCATTGTTTTGTGCAAGGTATCATGGTAACGTAGGAAACTGAAAAAAGTGTCACTTCGCAATTTGTTATGAATGCGCGAACCTTGTCATTTTTTGACGTTTGTAGAAAAAAATATAACAACGGCTGTTCTGAATAACCCCGTATTTTGGAACCTGTATTAAATGGGCAACTTTTTCTGATCATCTTTGTGGGGCAGAATTCAAATCTGCCAGCAGCATCAAAAAAGCAACTGACTATTTCATTTAAAAATAATTAAGAAAAACAAAATTTTTCTCGATTGATACGAAGTAACACAGGTCATCAATTTTATTTCTTGGGAAAATTTGGAGAAGAATGAATCACAAATGTGACATATATTATCATTGTTTTATGATGATTAAAAAAATAGTTCTAGACCACTGGTGATCCGCAATAATTGCGGTCCCTTTTTTAACTTTCTTAACTGATCACCTCAGATGGTGTAATTGACCATATTTCAATTGAATAGGGTTTGACAGTTATTGAAAGTAGTTACTGTCAAATTGAGTTTCAATGTCAATTAAATTTAGTTCGAAAAGTGCAAGGTCCATGAAGTTGTTCTTGTTCTTATTTTCAATGATTGACAATTCAACAGTTTTTGATCCTACAAAAATACAATGAATTTCAGAGTACGAAATGTCTACCCTCGGAAATATGGTCAATCATGTTTAATTTTATTGTTGAATGAATATATGACTAGAGGTAATGTCAATAACTGAACATCTGTAATTATTTTCCAATATTTTTTAGTCCATAGCCTAAAAATGTATGCAAGAACAACCCAACAATTCTGTTTTTTTTTCAACAGAACAATTCCATTCTAGGACGACGAATAATTATCTTCATAGTCATAGAATACGATTCAAAAATTCACTGTTAATAATTATTTATAGTTGATTTCTGTTCAGTATTTTTAGAAGGGGAACCAAATAGTTACCGACAAATACATATACTATGACGTTACGTACATCAGAGGGTGACTCAGGGGGAAAACAAACGAGACATGAGGGTGTTAGGTGCGGAAACTGAACACACGGTACACTCACCTCAAGCCGTTGAACAGTTGCTTGGACTTTTCCAGTAAATGCACGAACTCCATAACGATCTTCCTCTCGTGATCTTCCATATTGGCCATACCGACCATTTTTTCGGCCTTTTTTCAGCACCTCATTTCTAGCGATGTTTCGAGGTGAAGAGGCGACGTCCTGCGTCGGAAAATCGAACGGCAGACATGACGGCGCGACGCTAGCGCCACGACGCCTACGGGGCGAACCAAAAAGGCGCGCTGGGGCGTCGAGTTAGGGTTTCTTGAAGGGGTGAGGAGCGAAATCATACAGGGTGTTAGTTATAACCCAGTAAACACAAACATCCCTGGGATGTCACATTCATGTCTCGAATATCATTGGTATTTTTTGGGTGTATGATAAATTGATATTCATCATACAAGACGTGGAAAGAAATTCTGAATTGAGAAAAAGATTTTTTTCAAATTCCCCTTGACTGGGTGAAAGTATTGAGAAGGAATATTCTCGATATATTTATGAACATGAAAAAATTGATATATTTATATGAAGAAATACATTGAGAATTCGCATTCTCAATGTGATGAAAATATTAATTCTTTCTCGGTTTATTCAACGACAGAAAACAACTACTTTCCTGGCTATATGCCACGACGAACATTGAATTACATCTATTGAACACAGACGATAAGAATTTGAAAACAAAATATTCTGAAGTATAGAATTCTACTTCATATAAAGATATGCACATGATATCATTCTGAATATTCAACAGAAAACAACTACTTTCCTGACTATTTGAAATGTATATGAGGAGTATACTTGTATAAACTCTGATCTTGATGAGCTTGGAACTTCTAAAAAAATTATTCGTATCAGTGATATGGGAATTATATCTCTCACAAACATGTTATATGACTTCAACTCATTTCGGATATCAAATCCTGATCAGTGACCTGAAGTCCAGTTATTCCTCGAGTTATTCTTTCAGCCATTCTTCATGATATACACAATTTTCATCTCCCTGTAATATAACTACAACTATAACGAACTGACATCTAAGAATAATTATGATTTGTTATTGACATACTCCTGTCATCTGGGCATTTTTGATTTCTTCGCCTTGTAGTTATCTGATTTCCTCTCAATAAAGAGAAATTTGACATTCCATGAGCGATAAGATTATTTCGAAATAATAACACAATAGAGTCATAGTGATATCAGATACGGAAATTAAATTGATGAACAATGTGAAACATATAGTATCTGTAGAAAATAGTAGATTGTTTCATTAGGATCAAAAGTGACACTTTGTTTGACAAGATAATTTTGCATTTGCGAGGCGGTGCGTTTAGCGAAGCCGAGCGAAAGCAAAATTAGCGAGTCAAACGAAGTCACTTTTGATCCGAATGAAACATGCTATTTTTTCTGCAACCGAAACAATTAACTCAAATATATATGTGAATTAACCACCAATGTCGTGCCGTATGTATGCAATGCAACAAATTAAAATCAATGCAAAATCCGTGTGGTGAGAATATTCTACATGCATTAACAGCAGGTGTATTCAATATTCAAGGATATCCGAATTGTAGTTTCAATATAACTACAACCACAGATCGAGTGACATATTACACGATAAGAATTAGAAAACAAAATCTTCTGAAGTAGAGAATTTACAATTATATCTGTTGAATATCCATAAAGAGAGCATGAAAAATCAAAATCCTCTGAAATTGAGAATTGACATTATCTCTCAAATCGAATAGGATTACTGAAAGAATAACTGGACTTCAGGTTACTGATGAGAATTTGATATCCGAAATGAGTTTTACCCGAGTGAAGTCAATTCTCAATTTCATTTGATTTTTCATGCTCTCTTTTTTGTTTTCAAGTTCTTATCGTGTGTGTTCAACAGATGTAATTCAATATTCGACGTGGAAAGTATTTGTTCTCTGTTGAATAAAGAATTAATATTTTCATCATATTGAGAATGCGAATTCTCAATGTATTTAATAATAATAATAATAATAAATTTTATTCAATAATAAGTATATCTACACAACATTAGGTACATGATGTAGTACGATGCGTGATTGTTATACATGTAGTGATACTCATTGAAAAGCAACCAGTGATAATACAACCAAAGATTGAAATATGACCTTGTTCTTCCACATCATGGCTTTGAAAAATCCTAAAAGCTAAGATCCTATAAACTAAAATAACGTTGAGTAAAATGTCAGAATTTTTGAGTTTGTTGATTTCTAATAATTCAAAATGATTGAGTTTCAGTCCTTTATTTTCTACGTGCAGAATTTCGAAATTATCATCAAAACTATGGTTTTCTTCTAATATATGGTTGGCGTTTGAAATTGTTTTCTTTTAAAAAAATTCATTTAATTTTCATGAATGCGTTGATTTAACATACGACCTGTCTGACCGATATATACCTTATATAAACATAAACAAGATCCACAGTTGAGCTTGTACACCCCTGAGTTTTCGAATTTAGCTCTTCTAACTCTACTATAAAATCTGTTCAGATTTCAGTCATAAAATTAACATGTTTTTGATATCAAAATACGCATCTTGAAATTTTTTGTTGATGATCTAATAACATCATTAGAGTGACTTCACCGTGTCTGATGATACCTACTCTATAAATACAGTGTGTCCCACTTACCATGCTCACCATGGGTATCTTTTGAACGGTGAGAGATACGAGGTCAGTTAGATGACACCAAATGTGGAGTTTGTCAAGGCCAACTATAATGTGAAAAAATATTTTGATAAAATCTATTTGTTTTTGTTTTATACACAAAAAACAGATTTTGATCATTTTCATGCCTCCTCCGTAACTTCTTTATTTATGAGAATATTCAAATAGGAATTTCACATTCTCATGGCAGTTTTTCAAAGTGATTTCGAAAAAAATATAAGATTAATAACAACTCTTCTAGAATTTGAGATATCAGCACCAACTTTAGTTTTTCAAATGTAGGTCATAGCTCACTATGACTTACAGTTACAGTTACAAATAACTTTTTTTTCTCTCACAGATGATATGTCGCAGTGATAGTTTTGTGTTGATAACAACGGAGTTATCGTCATTTGTACAAAAACAAAACATTATTTGGAAGCCGCCATCTTGAATTTATAAATTTTAACAAAAAAATCATGTTCTCCGACCTCAAAAACCCCCACTTACCAATTTTGAATGGAATCGAACCAAATCTTGTTCGCCATCTTGGAGCAGCCATTTTTTTAACTTCAACAAAAATTCCATAACTCCGATTAACTTGAAATTTGGCAGGTGTTCATAATTTCGGTGACAATACATTATGTAAGTGGGGGTTTTTGAGGTCGGAGATCATGATTTTTTTGTTAAAATTCATGAATTCAAAATGGCGGCTCACAAATAATTTTTTGTTTTTGTATAAATGACGATAACTCCGTTGTTATCAACACAAAACTATCACTGCGACACATCATTTGTAAGAGAGAAAAAAGTTATTTGTAACTAAGTCATAGTGAGCTATGACCTATATTTGAAAAACTAAAATTGGTGCTGATATCTCAAATTCTAGAATAGTTGGTATAAATTTCATATTCTTTTCGAAATCACTTTGAAAAACTGCCATTAGAATGAGAAATTCCTATTTGAATATTTTTATAAATAAAGAAGTTACGGAGGAGACATGAAAATGATCAAAATCTGTTTTCTGCGTATAAAACAAAAACGAATTAATTTTATCAAAATATTTTTTCACATTATAGTTGGACTTGACAAACACCACATTTGGTGTCATTTAACCGACCACCGTTAAAAAGATACCCATGGTGAGCATGGTAAGTGGGACACACTGTATACCTATAACCTTTCGGCCACACTCAATTTCATTAAAATTATGATGTAATTTCTACGAAAAAGTTGAGAACACGGTTTCAACTATTTATATGCACCGTCAAGGCCAATGATCGATTCATTCCCTCATAAATTCCTATATAAGGGTGGAAAAGGGGGAATCGATATTTTCCATCCCCTATATTTATACAGAAAGTGTTTCGAACGGAATCTGTATAAGCATTTCAGTTCGTTGTGTCTTTCATAGAGGGCACTAAATGGCCCATGCAAATTCCATGATTACTAAGAGAAAAATGAGAAAATAAATGCAAGACCATTCTGGAGTTACAATTGTTACTTGAGATTGATTCATGGGCTGTTGTTGATGAAATGGGGGGTATAATAGAAGACATCAGAACAAAAAAATCAGATCACATTTCTTTATAAACAATAGATATTTACAGAAACAGTCAGGAAACGATGGGATTTCGCGAGACGAGCGAAGCCATCAGCCTGTATAACATTTTTATGCCATAAAAAGATGTTAACTTCATTATTGACAGATTTCTGAATCCCCACTACCTATTGGTGGTCGGTAATTTCAGCAGAAATCTGAGCCAGAAATATTCAGAATGGATATAGTAATTTTGCTCTCGAGATTTGTCACTGGCAATGGAATTATTTATTTCTATACAAATAATCAGTAGATTCAGTACTGACACTAGTAACAATTGAATTCGGAACATAGATAGCGCAGTTGCCAGGTTACCAACGGATATTTACCGACTGGTTGTTCACATAGCACGTGGTTATAGGTTAGGACTCGCCGATATATTAGATAAATACTCATAAAATGCAATGACCAGCATGCATATTATCCAGAATAGTATATTGTTGTTATACACTATATTTTTTCTGTACCTTCAACATTATAAATGCCAAGAAATTCAATTTTATTGTAATTCAAAAGTAGAACTGTTATCAGAAGAATATTCGTAAGTAATATCCCGGGACCATGACAAATAGCCGACTATTTTTTTTGTTAAAATTTCATCAAGAATAACTTGTATTTTGACAATTTGATGAGACCGTATGAATATTATTAATCGGAATAACTCTCGAGAGCTTTAGAGAGTTATTCTATGATTATTAATGTTCATATGGCCTAATTGAATTGTCTCAAAATACAAGATACTCGAGATGGATTAAGGATAATTATAATAATCTATTTTTCATGGTCGAGTGATATTAAGGAAGATTATTTCATGAACAGTATAAAAATACAATTCATCTAAAATTAGCACTTCTAAACGTTCCTTTCTTGTTTGCTCTGCTTTTTTGCATTATGCGCATCCCTGGCACCTTTGAGTTCGATATGTTCAAATGAATTCATCTTACGTTTATGTTCAGTGAAGTATATTTCCTCT